CTGTCTGTATAGTTCTCTCGACAAACCCATTACTTTGTGGAAAAGTTGGTGATGATGTGACATGCTGAAACTGGTACTTTCTGACAAAGTTGAAAAATTCCTTACTGGCAAACTCTGGACCATTATCCGTATAAAGAATTTCTGGAAGTCCATATCTGGCCAGGTGTTGTTGAAGAACATTCACTACAGTATTACTTGTACTGTCTGTGACTCTAATTAATTCAAAATATTTTGAATAATAATCCTTGAGAAGTAAATATTTGTCTTTGCCTAATACAAACATGTCAGCTGCCAAAATCTGCCAAGGCCGGTCAGGTACTTGATGCGGTATTAACAGCTCTTTCACTTGCTTATTTCTATACCGGTTGCCAACTTGACATTTGGCAACTTTATCTTGAATTTGCTTAGTAATACCTGGCCAAAATAGACAACCCCTTGCTCAATTAAGACATTTCTCCATTCCCAAGTGACTACTATGTATCTTGTCTACCATTTCTGGACGAAGAGCAGATGGTGTAATTAGACGATCACCTTTTAACAAGTGTCCGTCACAGATACATAATTCATCTCTGAAATTCCAATATTCTTGTAAATCTGGGTCTACTTCAGATATTTTATCTGGCCAGCCTAGCAACACTGTTTCTTTAAGTTTTGCCATAATGGGATCTCGATCTAGTTCCCTCTTAAACTATTCCGGTTTTTCTTGGGATATTGGTACCAATAAATGAACTTCAAATTCTTCCTTATTCATGCACTCTGACATACTGGTCTGACTAGCACGACTAAGAGTATCTGCAATATACAATGTTTCACCCGGTATATATTTTACCTTCAAATCATATTGCTGTACTTTAAGCATCATTCTCTGTAAACTTTCCGGAGGCTTATGATCTGTCACAGTGTTTCCATAAATATATTGATGAAACCTGGTGGCACCGAACACAATTGCAAGCATCTCCTTTTCTATTTGTGCATAATTACGCTCTGCCCGATTTAAAGCTCGTGATGCATAGGCTACTGGCTGATTTCCTTGTAACAGACAAGCTCCCAAGCCTTTGGAAAATGCATCAACTGAAATTGAAATGTCAGAATCAAGGTCAAAATACTTCAACACAGGCGCTTGAACAATCAACAAAATAAGAATATCATATGCTTCTTGCTGTTTCTCCATCCAGTGCCATGCCACTGAATACTCCATTAACTCTCTAAGTGGTCTACTTATATCTGCTAAGTTTGAAATAAACTTATTCAAATAGTTAACCATTCCCAAAAATCTTTGCAGACTCTTACGATCCTGAGGTACTGGCATGTCTATGATAGCTTGAACTCTGTCTGGATTTGGTTTCAGACCATCACTCCCAAATATGTCCAACATATCTCACTTCCTTCTTGTTAAATTTACACTTCTCCTTGTTAAACCTTAAATCTACTTCAGCTGCTCTCTCTATTACCTTCTTCAATCTTTCATTATGCTCGGTCTCATCCTTACCCATACCACCAAATCGTCCACGATCACCTCACATCCTTCAATATCCTCAATATCAATATCCTTCAATATCCAACAATATCCTTCAAAATCTGAGCCAGATTTCTTTGGAAAACCTCTGGTGCTGATACAATTCCAAATGGCAATCTTTCAAATTTATACCTTCCAAAAGGTGTATTGAAGGTCGTAAACCATGTACTTTCCTCTGTAAGCTTTATTTGATAAAACCCAGACGTGGCATCCAATGTGCTAAATATGTTTGCATTCCCAAGGCTAGCTGCTACCTCTTCAACTGTTTTTAACGGATATTGCTCTCGTTGAATCACCTTGTTCAAATCCACCGGATCAAGGCAAATTCGTACATCACCATTTGGTTTCTTCACCACCACCATTGGATTAACCCATTTGGTTGGTTGTTCAACTTTTGTTATAACGCTCCTTGCTTCCATTCTATTCAACTCATCTTTTACCTTATCCTTTAACAGGTGCGGAATTCGTCTTGGTGGATAAATTGTTCGACTGACAGGTTCTTCAATTTTAATTTCATATTCTCCTGGTAGAGTACCAATTCCTTCAAAGAAATATTCATATTCATTATTATTATTAAGTTGCAATAAATCACACATTCGTGATTAATTGCTTTGTTTTCTTTTGTTATGCATTTTTTAATTAGGCACAGAGGTGAAAATATGCGATTTTGATCGGCCTCATACATGCTTATTTTTTCTCCACTTGGCATGAAAAGCCTGATCTTTCAGAATATGAAAACCACCCTGTACAGTATTTTTAAGCCATTTCATCATCATCATCCGCTTTGTGGCAATTTGACCCTTCCATTATTCGCTCAAACTCTTGAAATTTTGCATGGCCCAAAAATGTTAATTCACTTATCGAAAGATCAGTCCTTGCTGAAAATGTTGGTATAACGTTCTAATAAGTATCAGTGGCGATATATGGATTTTAATTGGACATAGTTTAAAGTTGTGTAAAACAAGCAACAAGTTGAAAAATCGATACAACAGTCAAATTGTGATCAAATTCGATTTTGGGGGCTGCTACTTGTACATTAGTATTTGTATTTTATGAAAAATAAGTTTAAATGTGCAGTACATTTGATTTACCAGTGTATTTACCGGGTATTTTTCTTTTTAAGCCTGCATGCCTCCAAAATTTTAGAAAATATTTTTGGCAACCATTAGTGGATCATCATTACCATATTAGTCAGTGGCATATTTTCCCTAATCCCCGCGATCTTATTGTGGGAAATGTAAATAGGGTGGGTATTAACAGTGTATCAATTGAAGCAAATGGTCATGATTTGGTTTACAAAAATAATAAAGTGACAAGTTGTTAGATCAGCTAGTAGTCATACTATAAAGGCATTCTTTAAGAGAAATAATCTTTCAAACAAAAAGTGAATATTTTTGTTCATAGAGGCTATTTTGTCATGCGTGTTTTATCCAAGAAACATGCTAATATGGATGCATTGCAGATCATTTGTTTGGATAGAGATGGTGGAACAGTCCTATAATGATGAATTATGGTGCTCTAACTTTCGAGTAACCAAGGCAACCTTTAACTTCCTCCTTGATGCAATAATAAATTACATAAGTCATTATGATACCGATATGCATTTTGCAATCTCGGCAGAATGATGATTGATGACATTATACTTTCTGGCTTCCACTGTCGAGTACAGAACCATTGGGAATTTATTTGGAGTGTCAGAAGCGTTTGTGTGTTTATGTGTCAGGGAAGTGTGTGATGCCATTACCAAACAATTGTCAAATATTATCCACTTCCCACAAGGAAATGAACTTATTGAAGTGATTCACACCTATGAGAACAACTGGCATTTTCTAATGTGTGCTGGTGCAATCGATGGCACGTATATTCCTATTCACACACCAATGGAAAGTCATGCCAAGTATGTGAATCGAAAAGGGTACCACAGCATATCAAATGCAGGCAGTGGTAGATTCCAGATACCTTTAATATCTTTGGATGGCCAAGGGGTGTACACGATGCAAGAGTCTTTTCTAACTCCAAAATGTTAAGAAAGGAAATGAAAACAAACTTTCCCCCCCTGACCTTAACAAAGAAATCAATGGAGGTGTCCCACCTCTAATTTTAGCCAATCCAGCATACCCATTGTTACCTTGGATCATGAATGGTTATCTGCACAACAATGCTCCCAGATGTGAACACTCGTTCAATTACCAATTAAACTGTAGATAACACTTTTGGCAGATGGAAAGGTCGCTTCCTCAGGTTTTCTAAAAGGGTTGATATCAGATTCAGACCATGAACATGTTCATGAAGAATTATTTCTTATTATATGTTTTTTTATCGATTAATACTCGAAGTGAGTTTATTGAACTGATTAGTATGCTCTATATCAGTGATTAGTGTGTTCTATATAGACCATACTAATAACACTTTGTTTTGGTTTGTTTATCTTTTTTTGAATGCTCATTAGAATTCTCTATATAGAGCAAACTAATGAGTTATATAGAACAACTGTGATTGCTATAAAGGGTGCTACAAGACAGTTTATGGGGATATACACCACCAAAATACTGAGTTCTGATTGGCTGAGTGGATGTGATCATGTTCTAACTCTGGTTATGGTCTAACTCTAACGTTTTACATTGCATAATGAAATTGTTCAGTATTGCTTGCAAATAATGTGCGCATCAGATAGTTTGTTATCTTCAATTAATTGTCTTATTCTGGAGCATCGTTTCCAGCCCAAAGTTCCAAGAATGAAATGTTCAGTATTGCTTGCAAATAATGTGTGCATCAGATAGTTTATTCTCTTGAATTGTCTTCTTCTCGTAGTTCTCGAGCGTCGTTTCCAGCCCAAAGTTCCAAGAAATAATTTTTTGTGAACCTCACATACATTGAGCAAGATGCACAACACATGTGTAACACTACAAATGTGTAAGTAATATTAACCAATAACTTTATAAACCCTATGTAACTAATGTCTATTATTATACAGTTGGGTTAACAAATGTCTCCAATATAACAACTGAAATAACTATTGAATAGCAAGTTTTATGTTTGCATTATTAGAATAAAAGTTAAGGCATCATAATTTGAAATATGTATTTCCATCTCCTCCATTTTCAAAGTCATCATTTCGTGCCTGCAATGCGCAACTTGCACTAACACAAAGCATCATGGTAGTTTAGTTACCATGGCAGAATTATGCATGATGGCGGCTGTCAACTTTGCATATGTGTGCGTGGTCAATGAATGGAATTTACATAAGTAATATTCTCATTTAGTGTTCAATAAAGGCTTTTAGAGATTCTGCTAGGTTTGTTTTTGTCTGTATAGTCTAACATGGGATGTGTGAGAGTCATTGATTCTGTTCATAAGTTGAACGCCAAAGGCGTGAGCATGGTTTGGGGGCCAGGGGGCATGCCCCCTGGAAAATTTTGAAATGTAGACTCCCTGAAATGTGATTTCAAGCATCTGTGATTTTGCAGACTTCCAAAGATTATAAAGTACATCAAGTGAATGATTTATTATCTCACAAACATGCCTTTTCCCTTGACATTTATCCTCGGAATTAGATTTACTAACAGAGGATCATATTCTGATAATAAATATTAATGCCCAGCAAAGTGCTTTTAAAAGAGCCATAAACCATTAAATTTAAAAATTTTATTAAAGATTAAGTAACGTTTCGTCTTAACTCAAGACATCTTCAGACTATATTAAATTACAAGCTGTAAGAGTAA